TATATATATATATATATAGTATAGGGTGAGTTTTCATCCTTTGACCTGAGTGTCTGGTGAAATAAAAGTCATATTTTTATGGTAACCTCAAGATGAATTTCTCTAAGCAGAAATCCTATGAAGGGCTTAGTAACTATAAACTTGGAACTACACTGAGTAGTCACTTTTTTTTTTACACTTTTTTTCCTTTTCTTAATAAATATCATGATTATTTAGTGAAAATTAAGAGAGATAGGGAATAGTTTTTGAACTATTTGGCTTTGAGTCTATGTGAGTTTTATCCAAATTTTTAACAATAAAAATGTTCATGGGAGGAAAGACTTGAAAGGATAAATATTGTGCACCACAGTGATGGGAAGATGTCACTTTTGAACAAAACCTTTGAAATCATCTTAAGTGCAACAAGGAACATTGCTTCAAAGGCTTCAGTTTCTAATAAGAAATTTGCTTTCACTTAAAAGATTGCATCCTTGAATGTGTGGTGTAGCTATTCCTCAAGGGTGAAAGATTTGGAGAATAAGTTTTGGCTAGTATGTTGTACAGGAAAATTTTAGCAACTTATTTCTTAAAATAAACTTATGGTACAATGCAGAAGCCCAAGGAACTAGAACAGGTAATAAAAATAAAGTAAAAAGAAAAACTTGATTTTAGGATACAGGATTTATTTAATCAATATTACAAATAAAGAAATAGTCAACCAAAGATGAAATGAGTGAGCAATAGGTTAGAGGGGAAAAAAATCAGTACCAACTTTATAAACACCTAAAAGTCAAGACCTGAAACAAAAATTTAAATAAAAAATTAAACAATTCTTAGGTAAAAATAAACTGTATTAACTGAGTAGGAGAAGACACTAAGAATTCAAAAATACTTTTGCCTTTAATTAGTACTTCCCAGGGAGATTAGAGGATTGAGAGGTAAAAACTGTAGGAAGGAGGAAAAGATATGCAACATCTGATTTATTATTTTATCAAGAAAGGCATTATTGTTATTACTCTTTGGTTCCAAACTATTTCTAGTAGAACTAAATTTCATTAGTAGTTTCTCTAGGGAGGAGCCAGAAGTTTAGGTTAACAGCGATGGCTTTCTAATTGCCTTGGGAGTCAGCCACATTGGGCCAAAACTGACTTTTTAAAAAAATATTTTTAGTGTAGATGAACATATTTATATTTATTTATTTATTTATTTAATGTGGTGATGAGGATTGAACCCAGTGCCTCACATGTGACAGGCAAGCACTCTAACACTGAGCCACAACCCCAGCCCCCAAAACTGACTTTAAACTAATAGCTAATGCTGATGGCTGCCTGAACTTCAAACAGAGACAACCAAAGCTGGTATTCAGGATGGCTTGGATAAGATTAAAATTTTAGCTTAGAAATTTAGTGGACTGAGATAATACAATCAGGAAGAGAAGATGGGCAGAATTAGGCAAGGAGCCAGAGACTGATCATGAACCAGCTTACTCTCTAGCTCACTATCAAGAAGCTGTGTGAAAAAGCTCATGTAAGGAAAGTTTCCTCCCCTCACTGTCCTGGAATTCATGTTGCTCCTCTGTGGAATTAGAGAGATGACATATGGACAACCAAAAAGCAATGAGATTGATATCTGATATCACTTACAAAACCTAGTTTTAGTATAATTATAATCAGTAATAAGTGAGGGGCTCTTCCTAGGTCAACTTTACATAGAATTCCACTTTCAATCCATTGTCTTTGGAAAATTGGTCTGGGTCCAATAACAACAACACATATTTAAGTTTACTGTAAGCCAGAATTGGTTCTAATTATCCCTTACAAATGTTTCTGATATTCCAGTAACTACAGTACAGCAGTAAGCCTTGGGCTGTAATGTGGAGGTTCACAAACTTTAATGATCAACAGAATCCCCTGAAGATTTGTTAAAATACAAGTTGCTGGGCATCCCTCCTGGAGTTTCAGATTCAGTAGGTCTGGAGGTAGGCTGAATATTTGTATTTCTAATAAGTTCCCAGGTGATGCTGCTGGTCCAGAGCCAACACCTTAACAGCCACCGCTCTTGTAGATACATCTAGCAAAATCGATTTCATTTCAACTTTGCCTCTTTTTTCTATCTTCCACAGTATTTCAAATAAGTGAATTTAATGTTTTTAACACTGAAAGTACATTTTTTTTAGAGGCCCATAGCACCTATAATAACTGAAATTTAACTCAAGTTAGAAGGCAAGCACTGGAACAATACTAATGTGCACACGTGGAGCAGATCACAGGAACTAAACATGGTATTATTGTATTCCCAAGTGTTGGGTTGGTGAGAACTCTAGTCTCAACAGATACTCCCCAAGGGAGAAGAATTCTGCAAACAATATGCTTTTGGATTCTGCCTACTACATTTCTCACTCCCTGAAACATGCATGTTGACATAGAAAAAAATCCTATAATTAAAAACATTTAAACATGATGTAACTTAGCATTTTCTGAACTTAGTTAGTAACTTTATTAGAATCCTAATTAGCATCTCCCATGTAAGACCATAGAGTTAAAAGCCATTGCTTTCTGAAGGACTATAAAGGGTCAATGGCAAATGGATAGAAGAGGCTAAGAAACGCTGTTAAGATTACCTAAATAGAATTGTGTATGGAATCTCAATGTTAAGATTTCAGGAGAGGAGGGGTAGAGATTGATCTACCATGCAGAGAAGAATATAAATGAGTCAACCAATATCAGAAAAGAAGGATGATTTTGAAGAAAGGAGAAAAGAGATAGTTGCTCAACTCACAAGAGATGCTTTATATATAATCATGATCAAATGTCCTGTGAGATAAATAGATAATCGATTAATAGTGTTCACCCATGGTGATATTAATTTCAAATATTAAAAAATAAAATAATGTTATTTCTCTTTATGAAGGAGAAAATCTTCTCTTATTATAAATGTCAAAATATTTCTTTGTGACAGATTTCTAAATTTTGATTGAAAGTTCATCTATTTCAAATATTATTTAATACTATAGAATAAGTAGTAGAATAAAAGCTAAATCTTTTGAGTTAGTGATATTGAGCTAAGTACATGGCTCCAATGTATGTATTTTACTGTTGTATTTGGGTGTTTGCTTGTGGTTTGGAGTTTGTATTCCTTTAATTAAGAAGATGCTCTTATAACATGTGCATTATTGTGTCTAAATTTGATGATTTTGTACCTAGTAAGCATAAGTATACTTAATTGCTATTTTTGATGATTATATGATGATCCTTCATTTGTTTTTGTTTTTGGATAACAATGAGCAAGCAAGGGGTAAATAATATAAAATGTGAAAACTACTCAGTTAATAAGTAAATTATTATATCATAAATTATTGCTCTTAGATTTGAATTAAAATTTTAATGTCCGTGTTAACTTGCCAATCCACTCTAGTTCTATAGGCCTACAATCCTATAATCAGAGAGGGATGAGAGTCTCTTTGAGAATCGTGATTTAAATGCCAAAACAACCGTATTTTTTAGCACATCACTTTGCGGACATTGCACACTCTTGAACTACAATTGTGTTCAATTTGTGATGAACAGTTAAGCAAAGGCACACACTTCATGACAGTGCCATTTGAATGTAAAGAAGAACAGAAGCAGCTGACTGTGTGTATCCCCAACTGCATTTCAGCCTTTAGTTAATTGGCTACTTTATAGCAGCTTAACATAAATCAACTAACATGCCTTAGAGACTCGGGAATTTTTTTAAACAAACTATTAATTACTTTAAAATTATGTCCCCTTTATTGCAAAGAAACAGTTAAAGTAAGATATTTTTAAAAATGAAACAAGGGTGAAGGAAAAAAATGTAACATAAAATGGAAGGTCAAAATCAGGAGAGACAAGAAAAAGCAGATATTGAGATGTAGGTCCTTGTACAGACAGTAAACCTGAGCCAAAAATTTGGTTCTGAACTTCCAGACAGCCAAAATACAAAGGGAAATGCTGTCATTTTGGGTGCTAATTATATCATCATTCAGAGGAAGGAAATTTTTTTTTTAGTCCTTGATACTGAATAAAGTTTCTTACCTAGGATTTCATGTAGGGGTCACTGAACAATGTAGTGGGCATAGTATCCCCACAGAAATGTAATACAAAGTTATTGTGAGTATATCAAAGTTTACCTCCACTGTTATGTTCCAATGTAGAAGAAGTTTATGAGGACTTTATAAACTTTATCAGTGAAATCAATTTAATAGAAGGTCAAAGAAAACTCAGGGCAGTATGTAACTTTCTGATGGCAAAGCTTACTTAGCCCAAGGATAATACTAATGAAGATCGCTGATGAATGCATATTCTGCCTCTTGGACATTCTCTGAATTATTCCCTGCAGGCATCACTTTTCTTAGCAGGGCCCTTGCTAAAAGGCAGGATACACAAAGTTTGAGGCTATTTTCTTTGGTAAGGGCTTATGATTTACAAATGCCTGAGAGACGTAGTCAATGCATACTCATATATACTCCTAGATGTTTTCACTGACAGACTTGCACAATGTGGATTACATGCAATGATGTCATAGTTTAGATCTAAAATGCCCCTGAATATCATATACTTAAAGGTGAGGCTTTGGGGAAGTGATTGGATTATGAGGGCTCTGATCTCATCAGTGGATGGATTAATCCACTGATGGCTGCATGAACTACTGGGAGGTGGGACATAGTTGAAGGAAGTAGGTTACTGGGGGTACACTCTCTGGTCCCTTTCTCTCTCTCTCTCTCTCTCTCTCTCTCTCTCTCTCTCTCTCTCTCTCTCCTTTCTGGCTGCTATGAGCTGAGCAGGCTACCTCTGTCACACCTTTCTTCCATGGTGTTTCTGCCTTGGAGCCAGCCAACCATGGACTGAACCTCTGAAACCTTGAGTCAAAACAAATCTTTCCTTCGCCAACTTTGTCACAGTGATGAAAACCTGACTAACACAAATAGTATCTACCTTTTTCTGCTGTTCCTTTTCTTTTGGGTGCAGTTTCACCTTTCTTTCCTTTTCCTTCACGAAGAGCTTCTTGTTTACCACGTGGGGTTTCTAAACAAAATTCAACACACAGGTGTTACCGAGGACTTACTCCAATAGCTTAGGCTATGTGATTTCTAAGCAATCAGATGTTATTTCTCACAGATAAATAGTTATATTTGTGAACCACACAAAATGGCTCGGGTCTGTTCTGTGAGTTAAAATTAACCTGAAGATAGAATGTGGAGCTTCTCAAATGATATCCCTGCTAGTATTTTTCTATTTCATCCCCCTGAGAAATTTATTCAAACTTTAATATTAACATCTGGTAATGAACACGATCATAATCCTCTGCAATGGAATTGTGGAGTTTTTAAACTTCCAAGTCCATTTGAAATGTGGGCTTATTCAGATTTATTTTAATAAGTGCTCTTCTATGTTGCCATACTGAGAACTTCAGTTCAAATCAATACTGCTGTTTGGTGGTGGAGCTCATAATAAGCCTCCAAGGGAGCGCAACTGTGATCTTTTCCAAATTGAATCTCACGTGTGTTTAAAGCAGATATAAAATGTAGAAGTATATAAAGCATAGAACTATATTTGAACAAAATTATGTTAGAGTTCAGTGTACTCTGCCTACTTTTCTACCCCATTCCATATTTTGTTGTTATTGTTTTAGGAATTAATTCCTCTTTTCATTTCAGTTTCTAAAAAATATTGTAATTGAATGTTTGAGTTGGGCATGTTCAAAAGCCTCAGACTTCACTTGGGAAAATTTCTCTTTTGAAGGAAAATTAAAATTATTTATATAATTAAAAAAAAACCTTCCAGAAACTTCTCTCCTTGAGCTGAATGGGCAGCACTCCTTGCTCTATTGAGGCCCATGAACAATGAGTGATGCACTATTGTTGGATACCAATGATGTACTATTGTTGAATAGCAGTAATTAGGCCTCTAGAGATTAATCTTTTCAAACATTATTTAATGATTAAGTATTAGCACTGCTTTTGGTGGAAAAAACAGACAGGTACAATCAGTCTTTGAAGCAACAATAGATTTATTATTCCTCCAATGCACAGTGTTCAAGAAAACAATTTTAAAATAGCAAACAATCTTGAGAAACTTAAGAACTGAACTATGTCATAATCAGAAACATGAGAGATCAGTTTTAGAGAACAGCTCAAATACATTGATACTCTGATTGAAGCCAGTTGACGGGGTGTAAGGGGTGAGTAGAGTCAGGGCTATAGCTTAAAGAACCATATTGGATAAATCCAGGCTAATTTACACACTATGAAAACTGTCTTTCTCAGCTCTGAATAGCATTTTCAAGATTTTTATTTTTTTTCTCCAGACCTTTTTATTTTAAATTCCTACTAAGGTAGTAGAAAAAGGATGCATATTTAAGGATATATACTTAATTCATGGCTTTGTATTTTATTGTCATATGGTAAAAACTTTTTTTAAGGTCTGTGAATTTTGCCTTTAGTTAAGCTTCTATTGTGGGAGTGAAATTATCTTTAATATACCATAAATTTTCAAATTTCCTTGCTTAGTATGAATAAATTTATTTTTTAAAGGTTCAGACTCATCTAAAGTCTCCATGAAGCCCAAAGATTTGGAGTTTAGAAGTTCATTATGGCACAACCTTAAGACTAGATAGACTTGTGTAAGTGAAGTGCATGGCCACCCATTTGTAAAGTGGAAACCAGAAATTAGAGTCAGGGCTGTTTTACACAAACATCTTACTGATTTATACAATGATCAAACACTTTACTTTTGTCATTGTATTCATTGTCTATCACATGCTCCTTAGTAGTTAAGAATATAAAAGGAATTCAAACTAAAGAATATTCTCTATGAAGACTTTCATCTATAGAACTATAAATACAAGTTTACTGAGATGTCAGATATTTATTTCTTTCCTTTGATAACCACATAACCCTGAAGATTTACATTCAGACAAATTCTAGTCTCTAAAGGATGCTATTGATTGGTTCCCTTATTCTTGTAGACATCTGGCTATGTTAATTCTCATTTTATTAAGACACTCTCTTTACATCAATGTAACTCTATAGTTCAGCAAACAATTGTCCTCTTGATCTGCCCTAAATTACTTCTTCTTCTTCCGTGATTTTTCTCTTCCTGACTGTGGTCTTATTCTCATCAGCTGGCCTGAGTGTGATGAGTTCACATTCCTTGCTAAACAGTGAAGACCCTGACCATTTTATCCATGGTGTTCTTGGCTAGTGAGGGTAGTTTTTGTTAGGTGGAGTGTAGTTCAGTGGTGGGGCTTGTGTTCAGCATGTGAGAAGCCTTGGGCTCAATTCCCAGCAGAGAAAGAGTGAGAAAAAGGGAGTGTGTGTGTGTGTGTGTGTGTGTGTGTGTGTGTGTGTGTGTGTGTGTGTGAGAGAGAGAGAGAGAGAAATAGTGATTCTTCTACTTCCACCTGAGTGTAGATCTTTGTTTCTCATAACTGAAGTTGCCAAAGTCTGAATCCACATAAACAGACTGGCACTCTAATTTACAATTCTTTTCTAAGCGAAAATAAAGCACTGGCAACCAGATTATACATCACCCTGTCAGTCACCTGATTGTGGTTTTCCTTTGGTAGGAGTAGTTTTCAAAGGCTCTTTTTCCTTCTCTTTTTCTGCCTCAGGAGGAGGTGGGGGAGGAGGTGGGGGTGGAGGCTCTGCCTGGGCGGCTGCTGCTTTTTTCTCAGCTTCCTTTTCTTCTAATTTCTTTTCAACTTCAAAAAGATGATAAGAATGAACCTTCATTAGGGATTCCAGACACTCACTACTTCACTTGAACCAAGAGAAACTGAAATTAATAGGAAATTACACTTAATGATTTAAGGTCGATTTGTGTTTTAGGGCTCTCCTCTCAATCATCCAGTCCTGAAAGCCAAGATTTTAGTCTTTCATTACCTGGTCACAAATATGGTTTTCTCTTGCCTTTTGATGGGGTTTGAAGTGGTAGAGGTGGTGATGATGGAGGTGGTGAGGGTGATGGGCTGTGCGTGCATGTGCGTGTGTGTGTGTGCGCGCGCATGCATGTACACAGAGCAGCTAAAAGGTTTGTTGAATAGGTGCCAAATGGAAATGTAGCAAAGCAAAACTAGTTAATAAAAAGGAATGAAAAAATAAAGAGCTATCTCACAGTTTCTAGTGGAAAAACAAGGTAAAAGAGGGATAAAAAGAGAGTTAAAAGCAATGTGATAGAAGAGGTGGGGGTTGGGAGGAAATGGAAGAGGAAAAGAATGCGTGGAAATGCATATCAAGTGTTTAGAACACTGCATGGTGCATACATCCTGAATTAAAACTTAGCTATTAATTCATATAAATTCATTCATGTCATAACTTTTTTTTTTTTTTTTTTTGGATAGTGTCTCACTATGTTGCCCAGCTGGTGGTCTTGAACTCCAAGGCTCATATGATCCTCCTGCCTTGGCCTCCAAGTAGCTGGAACTACAGGCCTGTGCCACCATGCCCAGCCATGCAAAGGCTATTTATGGAATCTATATCATCTCTCAAAGAAAAGCAAGGGATACAACTCTAAAATAATCTGACTATTAAGTACTATTACAAACAACAGTAAGCACAGGTCTGGTTGCTGGAGATACAACAGTAAAACAGAAAAATGAAAGCCCTGGTGAATTTTGTGCTCTGGAGGTCGTAGGCAAACCATCAACATGATGAATAATTTAATTTATACAAAAGGTTGGAAGGTAATATTCCCTAGGAAGAAAAGGAACCGAAGAGAGGAAGGTGGGTCAGGAGTGTGCTGTAGGATGTTGTTTTAAGTTTTACATAGGGTGCTAAGCTGCGTGGGTCCACTGCTAAGCTGACATTAGAGTAATATATGAAGAAAGTCATGAAATGACTTGTAGATACATGATGGAGGAGTGTTCTAGAGCAGAGGAGACGAGACAGCCAGCCTGGGTGCTTTGAGGACTGGAACGTGGCTGGCCAGGTCTTTCCAGGTTCCCAGCATTGCTGAGGCCCTCTGCCTGTCACGATGCAGTTCACCCTTCCTGGCACAGCCCCCTGACCACCTCAGGCTCTGCAACCCTCCAGACCACAGGTGCCCACTCTGAGACCACTGGTCCACTGGTGAGGAATCCCTGATTATAAAAGTAATGCATAATTATTGTTTTAAAACCCAAGAATTTAGAAAAATATGTAGAAAGGGGATTGTCTGTGAAATCTTCTACTTAACAATATATTATGGTCATTTTTTTCATGTTGAAATATACACAGAAGCACCACAATTTATTTTATTTTTAACTTAATCAGGGTGTTTAATATAAAGCACTGGATTAGGTAAGCACCTATTGCTTTAATAATAAAATACTTGCTATATAGTTATTAGAAATTAACTAATTAACTTGTAAACCCTACATTGATAGTTGCCCCTGTTAATGCCATCAGTGGTCTGATTATGTTACAGAATTTAACATTTTAGGAAAATGCTAACTTTGGACCTGATGGCTGGCAAAAGCAAATGGATTCTAGCCTGCAGCTTTGAGCCTTTACAGGGTGGATTAATGTTGGTCTGGCTTCCCCACCAAGACTTCCAAGAGGGGCCCTGGAAGCTGTCCTCCCTCCTCTCAGTCTGGTGTCTGTCACATTCTAAGCCTCTCAAAATACTCTATGGATTTGTTTTTGTTTTGATAGAAAGCCTCTCCCTGGTGTGTGTTTGTGAGCAGATGTAGGAGCTTCTGAGTCCCTGTATCCCCATGGTGGCAGGGGCTTATGCTGATGAACTGCTTTGGTGTCAGTTCACTGATACATTATGATAGTTAGGTCATAGTCAAATGATAGGAGTAAGTAAAACTAATAAGGCAACTTCAGAATCCTTCTGATCTTATTTGACCATTTATTATTACACAAAAAATGTGGTTGCTGATATAATTAGGGGAAATTGATATAAAAAAAGATTTTTTATCAAATCATTTTTCAAAGGTAAAATTCCAACGGAAGTGTTGCATTGAACTGAGTTAAAACCTCTTTCAAATAAGTTCCATTAATATATGAAAAGGTAATGGGAAATTTTTATTCGTTAAATGAAGGAGGAAGAAAGTCTAGATGGATTAATGTAAGGGCAATATACCACAGAAGACAGCTAATAAAGAAGAAATTAATAATCAATAAATTCATACCAAAATAAACACATTTGGAGGAGCTAAGTGCCTACTACTTCCATCCTAAAAAGAGAATTCACATACTGTTACCTTATAATGCTGAAGTTTAACAAATTAAATATTTACTCTTCTCTATTGCATCATTAATTTTTAACTTTTATTTACAGAAACTTAATTGACAAATAAGATTATATATATTCAAAGAATACAATATGACTAGCATCCTTAATTTTAAGTCTGCTGTTTCTTGTTTTTAAAATGAAAACAATACTGTCAGCAAAATGACCTCTTGGATTACATTAATTTTAATGGAAGAGAACTAGTTTATTCAAACACATATGCAGCAGAAAACTAAAGTTAGAGGCAGAATACATTTGTAGAGAGTAAAACTCAAAAACAAGAGAAAACTTTGCAATTATACCCTTGTTTCTTCTTAAACTCATGAAAACCACTTATTTAAGTTACATAAAGAAATGTAAATACCTTTGTTCCTTTTTTTCACAATTTCAGTTGACAAAATGTCTTTCAGTTTTTGATATAAAGATTCCTTATCTATTTCAGCATTAACTTTTATCAAAACATTTTCTGTCTCTGAAAACCATTGCTCCAACAAAGGCCAGTTGTCCAAGAAGCTTATAATTCTGCAAAATCAAAATGTTATATAAATATATTGAAACACCTGAGTAAAGAAACAATAATTATGATATTATGATTTATTTGACATGCATAATGAAAATACAGACTACTAATATAGTAATCTTATATATAATCTTATATATAGTAATCTTCTATGAACCTTGTTATGGTTTGGATGTGAAGTTTCCCCCAATGACTCATGTATCGAAATTTCTGGTTCCCAGTGCAGCAGTATTCAAGGGTGGGCTTTAGGGAAGTGATTGGACCATTAGGCCACTAACCTCACCAAAGGCTTAATCTATCATAGTGAAGTGGACTGTGTAGAAGGTGGGGAAAACTATAGGCAGTGAGGCCCAACTAGAGGGATGTCCTGTAGGGGTATATCTTCTCCCCAGCCCCTTCCTCTCTTGGGCTTAATGCATCCCGGCCGCCATGAGCTGAACAGCTTTCCTCTGCCATGCCTTTCTGCCAAAGATATGAAACCAATCAACCATAAACTGAAACCTCTGAGACCTTAATCCCAAATAAATCTTTTGTCCTTCCAAGTTGTTTATGTCAGGTATTTTGGTCACAGCAAGGGGAAGATGACTAACAAATCTGAAAAAACAACTTTGAGAAATATATAGGGAATGGAACATTATTGAATTTAGATTAAAGAAATTATTCAATACCATTAAGACATATTTTGAGATACATATAAGAATAAAAGAAGATTTGAAAATGTCACCAATTCAGGAAATCTTTAGTGTACTTTAGTTCTCTATTTTAAAATCTAAGAAACATCATCTGCATTAATAAGAACAACACTGAGTATTCTTATGATGGTAGTCATAGCCTGATCCATCCATGACATCTAATTTTTTCTTAGAGATTGAAAGTGAAGAGGCCTTTGAGTAGGTATAGATGGTTCAGACTTATTTTCTTTCCTGAAAAGAATTCTTGGAATTATTCTTGAAACTTTTTTATTCCCAGACAGGATATAGCCTTAATATATGGCTTAAATTACTCTTCTCTGGCTCACTTCATATTTTTAGACTTCTCAATATTTCATAAAATTATCTTTTTGTTCAAATTTTTCCAAAGTAAAATTGTACATAACCAGAAGAATGTCACCAACTTCTTTTTTAGCAAAACAGAAGTGCCCTTAGAACTACACTCTGTAGTCTGATACCTAGCTCTCTGAAGTCCCATGATCTTCAATGGAATTTCCTTAATAGGTTAGAATGAGTTCTATATAATTAACTTATAAGTTCATGTAACCACTCTGTGAAATGTTGCCTATTGAATTCTTTCCCCAGAGTATAATGACTTATGCTCTGAATATAAAATCTACCACATAAACATTTCACTCAACACTAAAACCACTTAGTTTTATTTTACCTGTAAAAAACTGAATGCCAGCCTGCATGACTAAGGCCCTGGGTTTGATCCCCAGCACCAAAAAAATAAATAAATAATAAAAAATAAAAAAATAAAAGAAAGAAAAAAAGACAGAAAGAAAGAAAGAAAGAAAGAAAAAAACCTGAATGCCAGGAAATAATTATTTTTTCTACATGTGATGATTTCAAAGTGGGTAATTGTCAGTCTGTTCAAAGGGCAAGGAACAATAAGCAGGGCATTTAGTTTAAAACTAACCTATGTTGTATCTGGTCCTTTAAGTTCTGGTTCACATCCTTATCTTGGTTTTCAGCAGCTCTGGGTTGACCAATATCTTTGTGAGTAGTTTCATGTGCAAATTCTTCAGCTATGGTATAAAAATAATTACATAATTTTCTAAACCAGTCAAGTTGCTACTTACGCTAAAATATACTAGTGCAAGATGCCAATTGATATGGTCCAGTCTTTGGTCCAATATTCCTTAAAATATGTTTAATAAAATGTTGAAAGAATACAGTTTTGGAATGAGAATTCAAATTGTTCTTGGAAATCGGAGAAAATGGGGTAAGACATTAAAAAGGAGCTATAGTTTCAAAGTAGAGGATCTTAGAATTGACTATGGATAAGATTTCCGAATATCCTAAATTAAGGCAGATGATAGGAGGAAAAACATGAGAGGAGTTTATTTTAACTCACAGCTTCAAGCTAAACCTAAAAAGAAGAAAACAAATGATCTGTGTCCTTTCACTGCATGTTGAAAATTAACCATCAAGACCACACCACATTCTGCTTTTAAAACCAATCAAGCAGCAGCAAAACCTCTTTTTGAATTATCCTCTGATCCCAGCACTTTGCTCGCTTCCCATTATCCTACTTCTCTGTAGTCAATGTAGGTACATTAGTACATGACTTATGAGTCTTCTCCCTTAAAACGTCATTATAAAGTACTCTGGCTCCTTGCATTCCTGGGCTATTTGGCAAGTGCCGTCTGCCCATGCTGTGAGTAGTTTAGGGGGTCTGTCCCAGGATGAGGCCTTTTAATTTTGCTGAGGATCTGTAACAGCTTAATAAACCTTTGATTTCAGAGATATCTTCCTCTCAAAAACAAAAAGTCTGATTTAACATTATGAACAGGTGAGGAGGAAAACTGATGATGGGTCATGAGGGATGACAAACTTGGAATAAAGAAGAATCAATGCTATGAAGCAAAAATTAAGAATGAGATAACAAGATAGCCATAAAGTTAAATGCACATACAATTATTTTTGACATTATATTACAATACCATAAAATAAATAATGTTTTTTTCCTAGATTCATGAGTTCCTTCTCTTTAATAGACATAAAAAATAGATCACAGGGACAAAAAAACAAAATGGCCTCGACATCTCTTATTGTGTCCAGTTCTGGATAAATGGCACAAAATTCAGGACACTCATAATATCAGAACAATTGGAAATGATAAAGAGAAAAGAAAGCCTTGAACTAGATTAAAAAGAATTAGAGATACTCAAAGCAAGAGAGCACCGAAGGATGAATTTATGACATTCAAGAAAATGAAGGACCTTCACAAGTACAGTAATCAGTTGTTCCCCTTCTATATTCATGATAGAACAAGATGAATTGGATTTAGAATACAGGATAATGTGCATGCATTTTTTTTGGCTATTTATAAAACCCACTACATCTAAAGGCAGGAAAGAAAGCCTGGAACTACATTAAAATAAATTAGAATTACTCAAAGCAAAAAAGCACTGAAGAGTGAATTAATAGCATTCAAGATAATCAAGGGCCATCACAGGGCATAGCAATCAGTTGTTCAGAATGGGTGATTGAAGAAAATCGTGGGATCTCTTCTTAGGAGATGTTATCATGCACCATCTCATGGTCACTATTTCATATTCGTCAAATGGATTCATTCCTCTCTCTGCCAACACTGCCCAGTCATTGCCCAGTCCCTTCTTTCTTCTTCCAGCACCCATTACCGTGGCCACTGTAAATCCTACCACAAACTCTGGTTTGAACAACACTCTTGTGTAACTGCTAAATCTTTCCAACAGCATCTGGTTCCTGAATTCCTATATTTTCTTCCCAAATTGGCTGGTGTCTTTATTTTTTAGAAAGCCTAAACTGCACAATTGAACACTTCAACTTCTCTCCCCATCTAACCACTCCAATTTCTGTGTTCCTCTGCTACCCAGGCTTAGATTATGGTCCCCTCTCTTCCCCTACGTAGATTGGGGACATCTATGGTAGACCTCTAGGAAAATAATACATAACTATAACTAATACATAACTGATTTCCTGCCTCAAAAATCATCTGAGGTCTTTCATATATATGCACCTTTTCCTAAAGTAAAGAGAGAGAAGGAGGGAGATCAAAAACAAACTACCATGTCACCATGCTTTCTTTCCAGATGAGCTTCTTGGTAGTTATCTCCACCCACACACTCTACTTACACACCTCCTATTTGTGCCTCAGCCTACTGAAATCCATTACCACCCCCATCCCTGCTATTGCCAATGAGATAGTTCTCATTCTAGTCATGTAAAATGTCAAAGCCAGTGGACATGTTTCAGTCTTTATCTTATTTGATTTCTCCGTAGCATAAATAGGTAGAATTTAGCACACAGTTCTTAAATGCTCTTAAACATACTATGTTATTTTGTATTTACAGCAAAACCTGTAAAGCAAGATTTGGGTTCTATAATTGTCCCCAAACTGCATAAATTTGTATGTAGTAGAAAAGGAATTTGATTCTAGTCATTTTGATTCCAGATTTTGGATTTTTTAAATTTTCATACTCTTCATTCAGTTGTATCTGCCAAAAAAAATAATCTATACATAAATAAAGAGTTTGATGAATTCCAGAAACTGACAGTAGTCAGCATCCAGAGCAAGAAACAACAGTATCATCCCTGGAAGCCCCTCATGTCTCATTTCAGTCACCAATGGCTACAAAGGATGAGCCTGACCTTCTACTACCTGTCACCAAGTGATGTACACTGCTTCCCTTCTCAGACTCATGATCCAGGGCCAGAAGCACTGGCTGACCAGCCTGAGCAGCCTTTGCTCTTCATTTCTGACACCATTCTCTTAACGATGTCTATCTATCTCCTTAGGTCCTTCTGGTCTTCTGCCTGTTGGCTTTGGTTTGGACCATTGCTCTCTGCCCAGCCCTAGCTGGATTGATGTTCTGCAGTCCACCTGGCTTTGGATATAATGTGCATCTCTGTGATGTTGTTCTTCAGGCTTCTCCTAGTACCCCAAGCATTGCACACTGCACTGGATCCTAGTGTCTGGGTTCCTACACCCTGGCTCAGGCTGATCTGGGAGGGAGTTTGAACAATACTTGTTTTGAAAATCTGTCTTCTTTTCTTGGGAGACAGTATGCTCCCTGACTTGCTTTCCCTCTAGCTGTTGCTTCTAGATAGTCTTCCTTTGTTCTCCACGTTAAATTATGATGTTTTTGTGTCAGTATGGATCTTTTTCTTATGCATTCTTCCTACATGATTCTGTTCACCTTAAAATCTTTATACTTCCCTCCTGATATCTAGAGCCATTTATAGAATTATTTTCAGAATATCCTAGCTTAATTGTTCCACAGGCATTTCAAGATCAACACAATCCCAAAAGAAATTCTGAGTGTTTTTTTTTTTCTATATTATCTAAGTGAATGGTATCACCATTCAAAAATCTGGGCAAACTGGAAACAAAGTCATCCTGGTCTCCCCAAGTTTACCCCCTAAATATCACTTGCATCTGATTGTTCCTCCTTTGCCTCTTGCTGTTGTCTTAATGTATTTGTTACTTTCAAAATGGTAATATTTAACTTGTGTAATTGCTTCCAATCTCACTCCTTTTCTGATTCATCATCCACCCTGCAGCCAGAACTATCATTATAAAAAGCATATCTAAATGCAATAGACCTGTGTTTAGTGTCATAGGGTGGCTTCACACAGTTTCAGATAAAGTCTGAACAACTCAATTTAGTGCCAGACTCTTAACTGGTCCCCACCTACTTTCCAGCAGACCTTGGTATAGTCTCTCAGTCCTAATGAGGTTCTTGCTGTTCTCTGAATAAACATTTTGTGCTCACTAGCTAAGTTATGCAAATGCTTCCTCTTTAGTTTGCTCCTTGTTTTGGTTGGGCTAACCTCTCCCCATGCTGGGCATCTCTGTTATAGCATATAACAAACCACATTATCTAATTAAGTTTATTTTTCTTCACATTATCCCATAAACTATGGAGAAATGGGGACTAGCCTTTCATTTCTATGTGATCAATGCCTGACACCTTATAAATATTAGGTAAATATTTACTATTTACCATTTTAGCCCCCCATCAATGTGTCCTAGTGCTGTCCAATAGGAAGAAAACATTCTGTGTCAGTGCTGTCAATCTGGTAGCTACTAGCCACACTGGTTCATAAATTGTGATAGGTGTGACTGAAGAACTGCATTTTTCATTTATTTGTTTAAATTAATGTAAATAGGCACATGTGACTAGTGGCCACCATGCTGGACAGCACAGTTCTATGTCATAATCCCTTGGTTCTTTATCTACAATTTTCACCACACTCTTTGGAGGCGGGACCCATTTTTCCTTTATAGGTCTATCACCAGTGTCTAGCAGTGTCTGGCACTTAGTAAGCGTGGATATAAATTAAATGACTGTGTCAATGAACAAGATACTTTAGAAGAAAATCCTTTTATCTGTCTAAAATAGTTTAGGTGGAATTTTGCTTTCGATAAAGGAGAACATTAACAAAAAGATCTTTTAAAAATCATCACAATTTTAAATTCTAAGAAAGAAAAATCTCAAGATGAAATAATAACCTTTTTATACTTTACATATTTGAATATGAAAAGTGCAGATGGATTTTCAAAGTTGAAAACACTGTTGCACAATTTTTTTAAAAAAATATATATATGTATTTTAGTTGTAGGTGGACACAATACCTTTATTTTATTTATTTTTATGAGGTGCTGAGGGTCGAACCCAGTGTCTCACATAAGCTTGGCAAGCGCTCTGCCACTGAGCCCCAGCTCCAGCCCTGCACACTCAATTTTAAATCCAATGAAAGGAGGTTCTGTGTCAGGCATCTGCCAGAGTGAGATGCCTGCAGTCAGCCTGTAGTTCTCCTTTAGTTGCAGGCTTGACCTTGGTGCTGAATGCTAACAGTCAAAGTCAGAGGCAAATATGCTCAGCTAGATAAGTCTTTGAAAGACTGAAATGGATTCTTTCTTACAATTGTACTCACTGAATTAGAGAACAAATAAAACCAACAGTTTTGATTGTAAAAAAAAATGTAAAAAAAATAAAGCTAGAGCAAAATAAGAGAGAAAAAGGAAGGAGATCCCATCAAAACAGGAGGGAGATCAGTGAGCCAGAGGAAGGAGATAGAGAGGGTGGGAGGAAGGACAGGAAAAGGGAAGAACTACAGAATGAAATTTACCAAATTATACCCTGAACATATATAACTGTACCACAGTGAATTCCACCTTTATGCATATCTATAAATCAGCACTTAAACAAACAAACAATAAATAGAAGGAAGACCAGTAGAGGAAGGGAACAGTGGGCGGGAGGAGAGGAGGGAAAGAGGAAGTACTGAGGACTAAAATGGAGCAAGTTACAGTCCATGCCTGTGTGACTATGTCAATAAACCTCAATATCACTTTTAACTATAATGCTGTAATAAAATGTTTTAAATGGAATCTAAAAAATAAAAAGGTGTTGGACTTACCCATAATATCATTCTTGCGACTCAGTGAGAAAGCATCTGAAATATCTAATAATATGACAAAATCAAATGCAGACGGGGGAGGAGGTACTTCTTTGGAAGCTGTAGGATCAACAGCCAGTGTAGATATTTGTGTTTTCTTTGCCTCCTTTTCTATGAGGTTTCTGTTGCAGCCTGTGAGAGTTTCCTCCAGAAGCTGTGCTTGGTTCAATGTCATTGGAAAACCATCAAGGATCCAGCTTTGATCTATAGGTAACTCACTAGATCAAACAGAACAAGGCATTAACATTTTGACAGACACAAGTACTTTACAAATAATAATACAATGATCCTTGCTTTTACCTTTCCTTCAATTCCACAATAACCTTCTACTGCAAGGATTTCATTACTTTACAATTAAAAGATATTTCTACATAACTTCCTATCTTTCACAATTTTGAAGATTTATTTTAAACACATTCATCTCCTTAATGTTATGTAGGAATTGCATTTTCTAGATTGTGTTCATAGACTCTTCTGCTTTGGCACCTCAATATCCTATCTGTACAATGGATGACAACATCCCTCACAGGATGAACTAAAAGCGTCCATTTAATAAACCTAGCCCAGAATTCAGCACATACTGACTATTCACACTGTCAACCCAGAGAGTTCTTCCTACCCCTCCAGCTCCTGCATGGGCATAACAGCCTGATCTCAACTCCTTTACCTCTCATTCATTTCCCCATACAAGAAAAACATTCTCAATTTAGAAAAATTCAAGTGAGTTTTTAAAAAATTTCAATCAGGTTCTAAGTTACTGAAGGATGAGAAGCATTTCCTGGATTTTTCCACTCAGCACAATGCCTTCTACAGAGAATTCCAAGAATTATTACTTCAGTTTGCAACTGGAAAATAATGCAAAAATGACATTGACTTCAACTTTCTTCTAAAACCCTAAATTATACAAAATTGAGATTTTGGACGTTGAATTGAAAGTTATGGTTTCACTTCATTCTCTGTTAGAAGTCATATAAATAGTAGAATCCCCTTTCCAGAGATTTCTAAGTCTGCTTTAGTGCCTGTATGTGATCCTTCTGATCATTGCCAAGGAAAAAGTACAAAAACTAAGCTTCAAAGATTTCATTACTTGTTCAAAGGTATAAAACTGCAAATAACCCCGAATCCAGTGATTCTTGCACAGTATCAAACTTCCTTCAAGTTACCATCTGTTTTCCCAAATTAGGTAATGAAGAGCAGGAAAAGACTGCACTTTACTATTCCAGAGTGTGGTAAAACATTTTGCGTTAATTGGATTTATTGATTCATTGGCCTAAGAGAGAAAAGATAATTTCCTTGAGTACCTTTTGAGGGCCAGGGTTCCCACCATCCTAGGAGTCTCCTCAGAGAGAGGAGGAGGTCATGGCCACACCGTTTCAGCTGTGGAGTGGGGACATCAGATGCTCGGGAGTCAGGAGACCTGGGCTTTGGCTCAGGCTGCATCACTAGCCAGCTGTTTAACTGGAACAGCTTAGTCCCTTTCCTCACTGTGTTAGCTCAAAGGATTTCAAACTAGTGACCATCCTCTAGAGGGACTGCTGGGACATGGGGCATTGGGATGGTGGTGGGGTGAAGGATGACAGAGTCATGGCAATGCAGTGTAGGTCCTCTAACTCTATTGAAGCCAAAGATCTGCTTTATGTTTGGTGCTTTCAATTCCATTGTTTTCGTTGAAAAAAAATTCCATGGGTAAAATTATGCCAGTTTTAAGAAATCTTTGTGTGTGTGTGTGTGTGTGTGTGTGTGTGTGTGTGTGTGTGTGTGTGGTGGTGGTGGTGGTGGGGTGTACCAGGAATTGAACCCAGGGTGCTTAACTACTGAACCACATCCCAGCCTTTTAATTTTGAGACAGGGTCTTGCTAAGTTGCTTAGGGCCTCGCTAAGTTGCTGAGTGTGGCTTTGAACTTGGCAACACTTCTGCCTCAGGCTTCCAAGTTGCTGGGATTACAGGTCTGTGTGCCACTGTACCCAGCTAAGAAATCTTACAAGTATTAGAATGAGGCCCCTCCAGCCCTGACAGCAGCCCTATGTTCCTATTTATAAATGTATCATATCTGAAGCAACTTGAATCTTCAATGTGGCCTTTTAAGAAAACACTGAGGAGTTCATTCCAGGTACATGGTAAACCTTCTTTAATATCTCCTTCCTTGTTTGTCTTAATGCTTCCCACATGGCACAGAGAACCGATTCTATTTCCTCACCTACTCCAAGCTCTCCAACACATTCACAGGAACCTACGGAACTCTTTTTTTTTTTTTTTCCATCCTGCTTGGCCTTATTTTTTTATCATATGGATCAACTGAGCTCCAATGGTTTCTTTTAATTTCTCTCTTTTCTGTTTTAACAAGGAAGGGTAAAGAGAAGCCTTCCTCCTTAAAAAGGATTATATTGAATCCAAACTGACAAACTAATTTGATATTCTGTTTCTTTATCTTCTCCCATATAGGATCTCTGCACACACAGAAGTATGTGGATATTCTTCTGGTCAGTGCCCCCACTGCTGTCCTGCCCAGCACTATTTAGTTTTGGATCCCAACTCCTAACGTCTTTCCTTGAAACACAAATTGAGGAAGTGCAGTTACCTGATTTCTTTTCTCCATAGTTTGTCCCTTAGCTTTTTCAATTATCCTGTCTCCTTGATTTCCCCAAAAGTAATAGAATCTGGTCTGTTTTTACATTTAGGTGAAAAAAGTCAAGGTTGATGAGGGGAGGGAGTGAAACTAGGCATGCAAACCTATGTAAATTGACCTTACTGTAAATTTTAAATCACTAGATATTAAAAGCAAAAAAAAACTACATTACTATATTACTACTGATATATATTTGTTCAATAAAGAAAATGTTAAATAGATACAAAAGAAAAAGAAAGCAATACATACTTAATAGCATTTACCATGATGTTAACTAGCAATTTGTCCGGAATGCTCTTTCCTTTTTTCAACAACTGCTCTGATTTTGCACCAAGCTGAGCTCGCACAGACAGCTGTGAAAAGAATCGATGATGGAAAAATACAGCTTATTTAAAAGTCAGATTCAAATGGCTTGGAGGAGAAAGCACTTAAATGGTCATGCTCCCTGAGGAAGACTCTGAGCATTTAACACAATTCTGGAGTCAGGGAAGAATTTAAGGAACATTTGTACATTGAATATGAGACTCTTCTTTTGGGGCTCCCTTCCTTCCATCATATTCCTCTTTAGTATTCAGCTGCTCTGGCATCCTGAGCATCCTCCTCCAATACTTTCAATCAGAATGGTAGAGCTTTCTGAGTGAGCACTAGTCATTTCATGCACAGGGGGTGTGCCCTTGGGGGAATCTGCATCTACACAGCTCTTGCCTACTGTAGTCCTTGTCTTTCACTGCCTGGATTTTGCTGCTTGCTTGCTGGCTGCTTTGATTTTTTCTGTTTTCCTCTGGTCTGAATATCATTAGCTTTTTTATTTGTCCATCATATATAACTACCATTTGTAGGAGGGTTAGTTCAATACAAGCTATGTGGTATTCCTGAAACAGGGACTTCCCTAGAGTCCATTCTTAATTTAGTCACTAGAATCAGTATTTTATATCAAATGATATTATATCTCTCTCAACATCCTTTCATGCCAAATAGTATGATAATTCCCTGGAAGTCCCCAATTGGCCTGATTCTTGGGTCTTCTCACTCATCTCTCTAACTTTATCGCTAACTACTCTCTTGCCCTCATGGACAGACACCTTCTAACTAAGGGCTGTTGTCCAGTGCCTAACAATTCATTGTGCATGGAATCCTTCCCTAGCTCTAGTTGGCTGATTCTCTCACCTCTTTACATTTTCTTGGATGGACTCTTTTTATCAAGGAGACACTCCCAATTTAATGCAATGACCTTCCCTCATTCCCTTGCCCCATGGTATATGCTCCTGATCCCCCTTGCTCTATTTGACTCTAGTGTCCTCTTGACACTTACTGTGATCTAACATGATATACAGTCCCTTTACTCATAATTTGTGATTTATTTATGACTTATAGTTCTCTGTCCCCTTCTATTAGAATGTGTACTTCATAAGGGCAGAGGACTCTGTCTTTTTAGTTCACTGATATGTCCCAGATACTTAAAAGAGTACGCAGAAAAAAAGTGTGCTCTTTGAATTGAACACGAACTTTGGAGTATTTGTAAAAAAATAAATGTAATTATAAAAATAAACTCAGCTTTTCTGCTAATTCTTATTGTGAATACACAGATGAAAAATTTAAGGCTCCCATTTATTGCTTTTTCTAAACCCATTAACCATCTCATCAGTCATCATATTTATAGTTTGATGTATACCCTTCCATCTTTTTCTATCTTTAATCAGTTTTAAAATCTAAAATATTATAATATTGTTTTTTATGATGAAATTAATAATAAAAGTAAACAAGTGATAAAAGTAAAATAAGTGAAATCTCACTTGATTAATCTGGTCATTCTATTTGATGACAAAAAAGCTTCCATAGAAAAGTAATCCATTAATTAAAATATGAGCTTCCATTAGAAACAATATTGAGCACATTATTGTCAATATTTGAGGGAGGATAAATTTAAAAATTAGACTTATCAGCAAAGCTAAGGATAAATTCTGGAAGAATTCCTTAAAAGTAAAGAGTGTGCAAGAGGAAATTAAGCCATAAATTAAGTGGTAAAGGAAAATATCCCAAAATAAATTTGTTATAAAACTAAAATTTACAGAAGCACATGTTGGGGCTGTGGCTGTGGCTTAGTGGTGGTGCACTTGCCTGGCATGTGTGAGTTACTGGGTTCGATTCTCAGTACCACAAATATATAAATAAATAAAGTAAAGGTCTATCAACAACTAAAAATATAAAACTAAAAAATTTTTAAAAAGGAGCACATGTATACTTTATTACCTGGCAAAACTGAATAGGAATTTCCACTGCTCATGTAAAGAATACTGAGACTATAAAGAATATCAAATAAACCCAAGTTAGCTAATATCTTATCATCAGATTTAACTTAAAACCAAAGAGGAGAACATTACTATTTCACGTCATTTGAAAATACAACAAAAGACCATGAATTATGACACATTTTAATACACTAGTAGAAAAAATTAGATTCTAACACTTACTGTTGAGAAAGTTTTGCTTGAATTTACCTCTTCAGCATTTGGTGTTTTATTAGTATTTGTATCTGACAAAATAGGAAGAGTAGTTAAGAAAAAACTTCTAGTATTTACATCTAACAACCATCTGAGTGACCCTCTATAGTTTTGGACACAAGGATTTTCAGAGGCAGCTATGCCTGAGATACACAGAGGAAGGATGTAATGGAAAAAAACACAGCAAGGCTTTTGCTCTCATTGCACACCATTGAAAATTCATTTGTCCCAGCATCCCAGACATGATATTTGCCCAGTGTCTTATTTATCGAATGATTTGTATATGTAAAAGATCCTATATTGTCCTAGTGTCTTATCTGTAGATAATCTATCTTTTTCTAAATTATAATAAGGATATATCAGTTCTAGATTATGATTCCCAACCTATTTTAATGGACCTGTATCAATTTCATTGAAATACTTGCAGAATTGAAAACTTGGGACTTAAGATCCCTCCCTCCTTCCTTCCCTTCCTTCCTTTCTTTCCTGTATGACCTGAGCTCATAACAATATCATTAGAAATACTTTAACAAAGTTTGAGTTCTCTTCTCAGAAAACAAGCCAACTTTCTTTTAAAACTTTGTTAAAATGCCAATTTATTGTACTTTCCTTTTTCTGGATTATCATGTTATAGTTAATAAACATGGACAGACAATATAGAAGTTAAAGGGGGTTTTAGTTAAATTATATGGGGAAAAATTTTTGGAGATTATGATTAATTGAAGTTTTAATAAAATATATCATAAACTACCTATAGAGGTTTAAAAAAGTCTATTACAATGATCTCTTAAATAAAATAGATGAGCTGGGGCTGTAGCTCATAAGTATAGCATTTGCCCAGTTCAGGTGAAGCCCTGGTTTTTATAGAGGTGCTGGGTTTCAGTATCACAAGGAAATGAATAAATTTCTGTGGGGGAATTGCATGTTCATAGTAAATCAAACAGTGTTCATGGTGACGGTAATAATGACAACACAGAAGGATCTAAGCTTTATGCTAGAACATAAGGAAACTATTGAATATGGAAAGCATTCACCAGCACAAATAGAAAAGAGAATAAAGTTGTTTTCCTTCAGTGGTTCTATAAAGAATCTGAAGAACTGAAGTCCAGATCCCAGGAGGGTTAACTTTTGTTAGGATTGAGAAGTTGGTTCTATGATTCCAAGGTAAGGGATAATCTGAGTTTTTTTTTTTTTTTTTAAAGCAACCACTGTTTATCGGCAGCCTCCCTGAATACAGTACAAAGCAGCACACACAGAACACCCCAACAGAACACATGCACGGATCTGAGAAGACACAGTTGAGATGCCAGGAAGGGGTGAAAATGACATATGCTGGCTGTTTGCATAACAGCTACAAAACTGAGCAGCCATTTGAAGGACAGTAAAAGGATGGTGGTCTAATTCTTTTCATCTTTATCCTCAGTTGCACATCAGGGTTACCTTGGTCTTGAACATGGACAAGTATGCAAATTTCCCTGTGTCTCTTTCCCTGAAAGCACGTTTGTACTTACATATATGTGCTCTTACTGTTTGTCTATGGCTCTAATATAAATGATGGGTGGGGTGTCTTGATATCTTACTTACCAGGTTCAGCTTCATCTTTTGTTTCTGGTACTGTTTCACCTGAAACTAGATCAGTTGAAAGCACATTTTGTGGATCCTTTAAGAAGAAAACAAACACATACACATGGGGAGAGATTTAATTGTTATATTTTCATAATCTTTCTGATTTTATTTCTATAAAAAGGGTTGAGAATATAGTATTTTATCTACAACATTAATGATATTAAAGGGTATTTCAGTTTCATTCCTAAATGATGATTTTTAGAAACAAACAAAATTTGATGATAATTGCCACATTGAGAAACAAACAGTAACCTATGATAAGATCTGTCTTTTGAATTCAATTTTAAGTAACATATAGCAACTATTTTGAAAATAAACTGGAACCAGAAGGACAAGTAGAATTTATGAAAAAGCACCATATTAAAAAAGTAATCCTAGAGGTGTCAGTCATAGTAATTCATAGGAAAATAAACATAAAAGTGTATATTATCCATTTCCATATTGATTAAAATTGAAATAATAGCACAACATGGAAGAAGAAGTAGCCTCACAATGAAGCAAACTTCTCATAGTTATTTTTAGAATTCTTGTAAAAATGCTATTTATGTTGCAGCCAATACAAATGATCTTGATTGGATTCTTTGCTACTTCATTCAATTGCAAAGACAGTATAAGATAGAGGAAAGAGTCCAGGATTTAGAATCCAGAACCCAGTCACAGAATAGGCATTCTCACGTCTTCTGACCCTGAACAAATGAGTTCATGTTTAGGGCCTCTGCAGTCTCCTTTACAAAATAAGGATACTGGGCCACATCAATGATTCTCAAAGTGGGATCACATTATTCTCTCTCTACCGACTCCCAAGAATATTGATGCAATAAGGTAAAGAATTGCAATGGGATGAGAATATGATGCAAGCAAATAATGGGAACATGATACACGTAAACCACATGGAGAACACACTTGACCCCTACCTGAAACTGAGATCTACTAGTCATGAGTTGGCATACTATGGCTGTGGACCAATTAATCCAGCTAACATTTAATGTGGTTCTTGGACAACACTGAAACAGCCTAGCACTGTGAAACTAGAAACCACATTAAGTGTCTCTGTCTACCTCATCTCCATAGGGCTCAGGCACCTGTCTTGTGCATTTTCCAGGGCCAGCACTGTCTTCATCTATGTGTTGGGGACTCTAATGTTGACGACTGCCAGGCACTGAGTGGTGGGACACTAGTCTGGGATTTAGGGACTTTTGAGTTTCCTTCCAACACTCATGTATCACCCTCCTTATCCACACAAATCAGTCTCTCCAGCCAGCCAGCGGCTCCTTCCTCTGGGGAAAGTACCCAGCTTATAGTCACTGGGTGCCAAGTGGGCCCATCATGGTGGATGGTCCACCCAGGGAAACCAGTGTGTATGTGGGGTGGGCAAGAGTTCTCTCCTTCATTTTATAAATACTCACATAGTATCCTCCATTTTGTCTCTTTGCCCACACACCTAGACTACTTTCTCTCTGGGAACTTTGCTGAAAAGAGCTCTGGTCTACAAGATCCTTAGAATTCCATTTGGCTTCATAGCTCTAGTGCACTAGGTGCAGAAAAGAAAACCAACATCACACTTGCCTGGTTTTCTATACTGTCTTTCTGTGGAGTGGGTGGAGCCTCTTCTCCATCTTCTTCCTGAATTGGCGGGGCCTCCATGGCTTCTTCGTTGTCATAAAATGCTTGGATAGCTTCTCGGACAAGTTTGTCAATAGAAAGCACCTGAATAGGAAAGTCTAAAGTACAAAAGATCATTTTATTAAGAGCTTTTCACTTGGGAAATGGATATGATTGCCCTTGTGTTCTAGCTTCACACTGTCTTTAGGCTCCTTAGAACTGTCTTTTTGATTAAACTCCTCTTTTATTGTGGCAAATTCACATAACATAAAATTCAGCATTTTATAGGATACAACTCAGTGGCATTAGACATTCATAAAGTTGCCCAACCGTCATAAGTATCTTGTTATAGAAAATTTTCGTCACCTCAAAAGGAGACCCATACCCATTGGCAACTACTAATTCAGTTTCTGTCTCTATAGATTTGCCTACTCTGGGTATTTCATGTAAATGGAAGCATACTTTAAGTGACCTTTTGTGTCTGGCCTATTTTACTTAGCATAATGTAAAAAAAATTATCTGTGTTGTAGCATGTCGTCAGTACTTCAATCATCTTCAAGTGAATGACTATGGCCTGGATAATGAATTAAGTGATCACCCTCTTGTAAAACTTGCGATGACAGATTTTCCAGTGTATTAGCAGAGCTTCAGGTATGTTTTCTATAGACATGGATATTTGCAACTACACTCAGGGCAAATGGAACCCAGTAGGAATTGGGGGCGGGGGAAGCATTCTACCTTTCTGTAGAGACTTTAGGTTGGCAGATTTCCCACTGAGTGTTTTCCCCAACAAGCATCCTTTAATAGCAAATGAAGGTAACTCAGTCTCTTTTGGTTCCACGTGAGGAGGAAGAGATTTTTCTGCTAATCTGTGAAGCACGTGACCCAATATGCAATTGTTGGAGGGTGGTAAATTATCAACCATTTCTTCTGGTAAAGCCCACTCTCCAACCATATTCTGCAAAAATAACAAATTGTTAGGATTTTAAGAGACACCAGTCTTAAAAGTGGAATCTAAACATAGAAGAACTTTAAATATTAAAAACAAATCCAAATTGCCTCAAATGAAATCTGATGAATACATTAATTAATTATATTATTTAAAAGTAATAACTCAAAAAAAAACTCAAAACAGTAATAACTCAATAATACTGTCACAATATTATCAAAACAAGCCTCATACATAAAAGTTAAAAAAAGGTTAGTTTATGAAAATAGGCGTTTTGAGTTGAGACAAATTTTAATCTAGGTTGAGCAGTAAGACACATATTGATACTATCCTATTATCCATAAACAGATAAAGGAGAGCATGATATGTTATGTTAAGTACTAAGCCTGTTTAAAACAAAAAAGAAAAGAGAATTTTTAAGACCAATGGAGTTTTCTCTAGGTTACTATATTTGTTTCCTACTTTCTTTAGTTTTTTTGCTGAAATGATCAAGCAGGTAGAAGGAGATGGGAAAGTACCATACAGATTACATTTTCTGACATTCATATAACAAAACTGAAAATTGATTTTACAAAGATAAACAAAGTATAAGTATTTAAAATTAAATACTGGGTACATTTTTAAAAATAATTCTTCTGTTAAAGAAGAAATTAAAACTATAAAGTACAGGAAGAACATCAAAACAATTTATATAAAATGTGAGATGTGATCAAACTATCCTCAGGAGAAAACACATGGTCCTTAGACAAAAATGCCTCAATTTTAAATAAACAGAAGGAAAATAAATACTCTCAGCATGGAATTATGGAACAAAATTCAAATAATCAAAAGAAATTAAGAGGAGTTGAGTTTTGTGCATGGTGAGAGATAGAGGTTTAGTTTCATTTTGTTGCATATGGATTTCCAATTCTCCCAGCACAATTTGTTAAAAAGACTATCTTTTCTCCAATGTATGTTTTTCGGCACCTTTGTCTAGTATGAAATAACTATATTTATGTGGATTTGTCTCTGTGTCTTCTATTCTGTACCATTGTTCTATATATCTATTTTGGTGCCAATACCATGCTGTTTTTGTTACTATAGCTTTGTAGTATAGTTTAAGGTCTGGTATTATGATAACTCCTGCTTGCTAAAGGATTGCTTTGTCTATTCTAACTCAACTCAGAGTGGATCAAGGACCTAGGAATTAGACCAGAGGCCCTGCACCTAATGGAGGAAAAAGTAGGCCCAAATCTTCATCATGTAAGATTAGGCTCCAACTTTTTTAGCCAGACTCCTAAAATATAAGAAATAAAATAAAAAATTAATTAATGGGATGGATTTAAACTAAAAAGATTCTCAGAAAAAGAAACAACCAATGAGGTGAAGAGAGAACCTACATTTTGGGAGCAAAGTTTTGCCACAGGCACATCAGATAGAGCACTAATCTCCAAGATATATAAAGAACTCAAAAATCTTAACACCAGAAAAACAAACAACCCAATCAATAAATGGACTAAGGAGCTGAACAGACACTTCTCAAAAGAAGATATACATTTGATCAAAAAATATACGAAAAAATGTTCAACATCTCTAGCAATTAGAGGAATGCAAATCAAAACCACTCTAAGATTTCATCTCACTCCAGTCAGAATGGCAGCGATTAGGAATACAAACAACAATAAGTGTTGGTGAGTATGTGGGGAAAAAGGTACACTCATACACTGCTGGTGGGACTGCAAATTGGTGCAGTCAATGTGGAAAGCAGTATGGAGATTTCTTGGAAAATTGGGAATGGAACCACCATTTGACCCAGCTATCCCTCTCCTTGATCTATACCCAAAGGACTTAAGAATAGCATACTACCAGGACACAGCCACATCAATGTTTACAGCAGCACAATTTACAATAGCTAAACTGTAGAACCAACCTTCAATAGATGAATGTATTAAAAAATTGTGGCCCTTCAATAGATGAATGGATTAAAAATGTGGCCTTTACACACAATTTATACTCAGCAATAAAAGAGAAAAAAATCATGGCATTTGCAGGTAAATGGATTGTGTTGGAGAAGATAATGCTAAGTGAAGTTAGCCAATCCCAAAAAACCAAATGCCAAATGTTTTCTCTGATATAAGGAGGCTGATTCATTCTTGGTTAGGGGTGGGAAGCATGGGAGAAATAAACAAACTCTAGATAAGGCAGATGGGTGGGAGGGGAAGGGAGGGGGCAGGGGGCTAGAAATGATGGTGGAATGTGATGGACATTATTATCCAAAGTACATGTGTGAAGACATGAATTGGTATGAGTATACTTTGTATACAACCAGAGATCTGAAAAATTCGGGTATATATGTGTAATAAGAATTATATCCATTCGGCTGTCATATGTAAATAAAAATTTAATTAATAAAAAAGAAAACAACAATAAGTGCTAGTGAGGATATGGTGGGGGGGGGGAAGGCATACTCATACATTGCTGGTGGGACTGCAAATTGGTGCAACCAATCTGGAAAGTAGTATGGAGATTCTTTTGGAACTTGGAATGGAACCACCATTTGACCCAGCTATCCCACTATTCGGTCTATATCCAGAGATATAAAATCAGCATACTATAGTAGTGCAACCACATCAATGTTTATAGCAGTTCAATTCTCAATAAACCATGGAAGCAACCTAGATGCCCTTAAAAGGATGAGTAGATAAAGAAATTGTAGTATATATACACACTGGAATATTACCAGCTTGCAGGTAAATGGATGGAGTTGGAGAATATCATACTAAGAGAAGTAAGCCAATCCCAAATTACCAAAGGCTGAATGTTCTCTCTGATAAGTAGATGCTGATCCAAAATGGAGAAACTGTGGGCAAAGGGGAGTGAGAGGTGGGGAGGGACATGGGGGCAGGAAAGATGGAAGAATGAGATCTATATCATTACCTTAGATACATGTATGACTGCACATATGGTGCAACACTACATCGTAAACAACTAGAGAAATGAAAAGTTGTGCTGCAATTGTGAATCAAAATGCATTCTGCTGTCAAACATACCTAATTAAAATAAATAAATATATATTTTTTAAAAGAACAAAATAAACACATTTTTACCTAAAAAAAGAAAAAAAAACTAAGAAGAAGAGTATAAAATAAAAATGGTAAGTAACAAATTACAGAGTAAAACTACTGAGATGCTATATGGATAAATGTCTAAAACATCCATATGAATCATGGGAATGAACTTGTGACTAATTTGGCAGAAGGTGAAGAATAGCAAGAATCAATGTAATAATATAGGAAAGAAGATAGCAACATATTTTAAGGAGATAAAAGATAAGAAAATATTACTTACAAGTATATTGTAAAAATGTGAACTTATTACTGTAAAATAACAAAGGATAGTCTAAGAATGTTCCAGTTATTAACATTAAGTTAAATGGTGTCTTTGAAAAGATAAAAGCCTTGAAAGAAATGGAAAAGCTGTTGGAAATCTCTGTTTAAACTTGAAGACTGTAATGGCCTACAGGAGAATTTTCATTTCTTAATGGAATAGAAATTTAAATGTTTAAAACCTTCTTGAGTAGTAAAGAAGACTTAAGTACAGAAGACTTGAGTATAGAAGAAGCTTTCTGGCACATTTGGATAATTGACAAAACAAACAGCCAAAAAGAAAACCCAAGCTAAACTCACCCAGAGATATCTTGCAAAAGTCATACATACAAGTCAATACTTATTAATGGACCATAAAGATACGGATTGGCATTGCCTGTATATTTGCTATATGTTGCGTACTTCTGTCTTCATGAATTATCTCAAATGATTCTCACATACCCCTCATGTAAGTATTTTCTTCTTGATTTTGTCAAAGAAAATCCTGAGTATTAAACAGACAGAGTTACTTCAAGGCATACATTGTAACCTAGGCAGTCAGATTACTGAACTGTGCTTATAACCTATATGCTATATCATGGTTTTCTCACCATGAGAGAAATTCTGGCACCAAACGTGACAAACCATGAGAATTATTCCATGAATACAAAAAGGTTAAATATTAGAAACAAATTACTCTCTTCTGTTAATACATTATTATTTTTTAAAAGCATATTCTTATCAAAAAAGCACCTGAGGAAATTCAAATTTCATTTTTTATTTAAAAAATAAAAAAATATGATTTAAAAAACAACCCTAATCTCTTAGTAATATATGAATTAAAGATAACTTTCCTAACATTCTCTGCACCAATATGTAAAGCTGAACTAAAGTAGTTACACATTTTGCCGTTAAAGGCAGGAACAAGAAAAAGATGCTCAGTATTAACACCATTAGTCACACTCTTCTGGAATGTTCTAGCCAGTGTTACAAATTAAGAAAAAGAATCAGTAGTTCTGTCCCTAGAGGCAGTGGTGGCTGATGCAGAGTGGCAGCGGCAACCTGAACTGCTAGTGTTCCATGGTAGAGATGAGGTCACAGCTTTCTTGTCTGCCGGTGCTGACAAATACATACATTTTTGTGGTACTAGCAATTGAACACAGAGCCTGTGCTTGCTCAGCAGATGCTCTACCTCTGAGCTATATCACCAACTTTTTAAAAAAGATTTTTTTTAAACTTAGGATCTCACTAAGTTGTGATCTTGAGATCCTCCTGCCTCAGTCTCACAAGTAGGTGGGATTACAGGTGTGCACTATAATGCCCACCCTATTTAGGCTATTGTTAACAATATTTCTATAATTACAGAACATCATGTATAAATAAACACATGTCTATGTTTCTGCTTTTTAAAAGCTCAGCATTCTTCTCTCTCTCTGTCTCTGTCTCTCTGTGTGTGTGTGTGTGTGTGTGTGTGTGTGTGTGTGTGTGTGTGTGTTTGGTACAAGAGATTAAACACAGGGGCATTTAGTCACTGAACCACATTCCCATCCTTCATTTTAAAATTTTAAGACAGGGTCTTGCTAAGTTGCTGAGACTGGCCTCAAACTTTAAATCCTCCTGCCTCAGCTTCCAGAGTCACTGGTATTACAGGTGTGCACCACCCTG